ATCAATAAGTACTTCATTTTGACTTCCCCTTATATTACTATTCTATGTGGAAACTAACCATATATAGTAATGTTTACAATGGTATTAAATTTTTTGAATGAAAATTTTTAATTGTTAAAATTTACCATGCAAGTGTAGTCCAGTACACTCACACTAACTCTAAAGTCTATTACCCTCTACTACATCATAAGCAGCACACTCTTCCATTGATAGTTCCGACTGAGGAACTGTTAATGTTACAGTCTCATACTGTGGGAATCCAGCACTCTCTACTACACCACAAGCAGCACATTCTTTTACTGGTACTTCATAGTCTCCCTCTGACTGTGGAGCTGGTAGATCTACAGTCTCATACTGTGGGAATCCAGTTCCTTCCACTACACCATAAGCAGCACATTCTTCCATTGATAGCTCTGATTGTGGAACTGGTAGATGTACATTCTCATACTGTGGGAATCTAGTACCTTCCACTACACCATAAGCAGCACATTCTTTCATTGATAGTTCTGATTGGGGAACTGGTAGATGTACATTCTCATACTGTGGATTAACTGATGATAGTTCTTGCTCTTGTGAACCTATAGGTAAACCTTGTTTATAAATGAATAAATAAATTACAGTACTTTGACTATTATTTTCATTCTTCTTTAGTATTGTAACGTCATTCACTTCCATTCTTCCTCTTTTCTTTTTAAATTGAACTGTTGCTGCTACCACTACAATTACTATAACAACTACAATGTACATAATAATGACAACATTTGATTATAATGTACATACCAATTATTATAACTAGTAGTGTAATTGATATCCCAGAAACCAGTTGAATGATTGATGATGAAGAAGATATGGATGAAGGAGCTGTCAATGAAGAAGTTGGAGATGAAGTTATAGATGTTACTGATGACAAAGTTAAAAATGAAGACGATGAAGACAAAGGAGGAGTCATGGAGGAAGGCATTGGGGATAAAGAAGAAGTTTTGGACAAAAAAGATAGAGATGAAGATATAAAAGTTGGGGATAATGAAGATAGAGATGAAAGAGCAATGGATGAAGAAGTTATGGAAGAAGGTACTAGAACTGATGAGGGTGTAGCAGTTGAAGTACCTATGTATACAATAAAGTACATTATAACTACACAAATGAACATACACTGTACCTGTCACTATTGTACTAGTTAATCTAGAGGTACGAATAGAAGTAGAACTACTGATGGTAGGAGTATCTGTAGTACTGCTTATGATGGAGCTACTTGTAACTTGTTGTGCTGTTGAAGTAGTTGACACTGTAGCTGGTACTGATAAAGAAGTAGCTAATGCTGATGAAGTAGTTGTAACTGTTAGAGCAGTTGGTGCTAATGAAGTAGTTAATACTGATGAAGTTGGAATTGTTGAAGTACTTGCTGACAAAGTAGATATT